GGTAAGCAATGCATAGGTACAATGATGTGCATTGCATTTGCTCTGCCATGGGATGCGCACGACCCGGGTAAGCGACGATATAACAATCAAATATCAATGCTGATTCCGGCTTAAAAGACATTGTATCCACCGATATCTTACCCAAATATAGACACTATACAAACATGAATCTATGAGTTTTGCGTTTAGCAAGCCTCGGTTTGCGTGGCGTATCCTGTCTCTTTTTTCGTGCTTGGAGCCTGACTTGTTTTCTGAGCACCCGGGAGTTTACCTTGTTCTGCGTGCACAGAGCTGGCCTTGTCTTGTGCGTTGGGTTCATCTCGTTTTGCATGTGAGAAGTCCGCATTGTTTTGCTTGCCAGAAGTCAACCCTTTTTTGTGTCCACAGAGCCTAGGTCGTTTTGGCGTGCACGGAGCTAGCCTAATTTTTCGTGCGCAGTGCTGGCCTTGATTTATGTGATGTATCTCGCCTTGTTTTTCATGAGCAGAGCCCGCCTTGTTTTGCGTGCTATGGTTCTTCTCTTTCTGTGTAAGCTACATCCGACTCGTTTTGCGTGCGTCGAGCCTGCCTAACACCCATGTTTTTGACAAAAATGTAAATTTTTTATTTCCGCAAAATATTTTTCTTGAGCATTAGGTTAAGTTTTTTAAGGAATTTGGAAGCAGGTTTGCGGTTTATTGAGCAACAAATGTATATTTAGTAGAATATTTAAGTCGAAAACTAAAAATAAGTGAAAAATACAGTACTAAGGCCCAAAACATGGTCAAATGGGACTTTGCACTCAAGAATCTCAACACAAAGTTCACCTTAATTTTCAAAACTTCGTAGTGAGGGGAATGTGAAAATAAATAGATTGAACGGTGATTTATGTACGAATTTGTAGAACCGACTAAAAATTATGAGTGTTAATCCACATCTTTTTGTAAAAAATGCAATTTTTTTATTTTCTCGAAATATTTTCCGTGAGCATCAATGAAATCTTTATAATGTATTTGGAAGCGGATTGAAAAATTATTGAGCAACAAGTGTACATTTAGTAGAATATTTATGCCGAAAAGTAAAAAAAATAAGTTAAAAATATAGAGATGTTAAAATGTATATTCAGTGTATAATTTTTATTTTTAAATTAGAGATGTTAAAATCACCTGTAGGTGAGACTTAACAAAAAAACAGCAAAAAAATTGTTTTGTTAAATAGTCATTTTCACCCTCAGAGAACTCTATTAATTTGTAGTTTAGAATTAGATAAAAGCAAAATAAAAAAATAAAAAAAAAGGTTCAAATACCTTTAAATTTAGGAATGTTTAATAGTAGTGCATGAACAGTAACGAGTGAATAGAAGCAGGTCGTAAAAATAACACCCTGAGTTCGACACGTTTCAGCTCCCGGTGCACACGAATGTTTTTAACCTCACCTCGTTTCTTGTCCCAGAAGCCACCTAATTTTCTGTGTGCGGGATCGCCTCATTTTGCATGCTAGAAGATCGTCTCTTTTTTTAGCGTTCAGTTGGCCTCGATTTACACGATGTATCCCGCCTCGTTTTCTATGCGTGGAGCTCGACTCATTTTTTGAGCACTCGGGAGTTCGCCTTGTTCTGCGTGTGCGGAGCCCACCTCGTCTTATGTGCTTGGGTTTGCCTCGTTCTGCATGTGAGGAGTCCGCATTGTTTTTCCGGCCATAAGCCCTCCCCATTTTTTTGTCCACGGAGCCCGCATCTTTTAGGCGTGCACATAGCCAGCCTCGTTTTTCGTGCACAAGGTTGGCTTTAATTCGTTAACGTATCTCGTCTCGTTTTTCCTTAGCGGAGCTCGCATCGTTTTGCATGCCAAAAGCCCGCCCAATTTTCTATGAGCGGAGCCCGTCTTATTTTGCGTGTCATGGTTCACCTGTTCTACGTGAGCTATGTCTACCTCGTTTGGCGTGCGTTTAGCCCGCTCAACACCCATATTTTTTTACAAAAATGTAAATTTTTTATTTTGCAAAATATTTTTCCTGAGCATTAAGTTAAACTTTTTAAGGAATTTGGAAGCAAGTTTACGGTTTCTTGAAAAACAAATGTATAGTAGAATATTTAAGCCGAAAACTAAAAAAATAAGTAAAGAATACAATAATGAGACCCAAAACATAGTCAAATGGGGTTTTGCACTCAAGAATCTGAACGGAAAGTCTCACTTTTAATTTTCAAAACTTCGCAAGTGAGGCGAAGGTGAAAATAAATGCAAATTTTCTATTTTCTCGAAATATTTATGTGAGCATTAATGAAGCCTTTATAATGCATTTGGAAGCGGATTTACGATTTATTGAGCAACAAGTGTACATTTGGTAGAATATTTATGCCGAAAAGTAAAAAAATAAGTGAAAAATATAGAGATGTTAAAATGTATATTCATTGTATGTTTTTTTAATTTTTTTTTTTAAATTAGAGATGTTAAAATCACCTGTAGGTAAGACATAAACAAACAAAAAAACAAAAAATTTGTTTTGTTAATTAGGTTTTAAATCGTTGATTAGAAGTGTTTAAATACGAATTATAATAGATTTTGCACGAAAAATTATATTTTGATGAACATAATATGATAGTTTGTTATAATGGTAAGAGAAATAAAAGAAAATTTGACAAAAATGTACAAAAAAATGTTTCAAACTCTCCCTCCAAAGCCCACCAATCAATTAATCTGGAACCTTATAATTTGATTCAACGACTACAAACAGGAGGCTCCTTAAAAAGTTATAATAATTTTAGCCATTGGATCAATTTTCAAGGACCCGGATTAATTGATTGGTGGGAGAGATCCGAATAGGATATCTTCCCCCATCCAAAACCATGCATCATTCCTTGATTCAAGTCCTAGTTTTTATTCCTTACTACAAAAATCATAGTTTGACACATTAAAACTAATCCATTTGTATACTTTAAATCAATAGTTTTGCTACTGATGTAGAAGTGCGCATATTTATATATATATATATATATTTTTTTTTTTTTTACGACTACGCGATAATATTTATAGAAAGAAAATATGATTTAAGTTATAGAGAATTAGGCAAGTCAAACTGTACACCGAAGTTCAGACTGCGGCTGACCATGAAACCTACTCATTCCCATGCTCACAGCAATTGAAAGGAGTGTGCATGACAAGAAATGCATAAGCTCAAAATATGATACATGTTAATATTTTTTTTAACAAACAATATTATATACACTGAAAGAGAAAGGGGATATGCTTAATCTCACAATGGGCTAGCAGTAATGTGGTTCAAATTCGTCTTTGACGAGAATTGAACCTAAGACCTCTCACTTACAAGTGAAGAAGAATACCACTAGACTGTAGTATTAAGTGACATTTAATCTACTCCATGCAACATTTGAAATTATGAATTGATTCATATATTAATTATTCGTTAATCTACTCCATGCATTTAAATAAGCTATCTCTAATATAAGAGTCTAAAAACTTAAAATTTAGCTCCTAATCTTTAACTATTAATCTATAGGTATGAACTTAACGAGTCCCTTGTAGTATTGTTTCCTCAAACAAAAAACTGCCAATTAAGAGCTACTTAAATTGCATTTTCGCACTAAATCCCAAAAAGGACAACATTAATTGTGGTCTTCTCCCTAATCACTATCCGCGTGAGGATAACGGTACGAAGCCCCTTTTCTAAGGAATAGCATCACAGCCGTCCGATTAGGACATCATTTTAATCCACCGAATCTTGTCCAGATTCAATTCCCTTCTCAATCACTCTACTTGCAATTATCTGAAAATTATCAAATTTAGAAAATTAAATATTTAAAAAATTTCCAACTTTACATTTCCGTGTGATATAATTCCAGATAAAACCGAATTTCCAAAACAAAAAAATTTTATAAGTCAAACAAGCAAAGCTGTTTCCGGTTATACCTATTCACTTTCATTGTGTCTAAAGTAAAAAATATTAGCGTCAGTTATTCACGCATGAATAATTGAATCTCATCTAAAATTTATCAAACAAACAGCTCGCAATCACCTTAAACCATAACGCCGGTTACTCACGTACGTAAAATAAAGTGAATCTCACCCGGAGATTCAATCTTATCAAATAACAAGTGACCGTCGATGAAGCCTGAGATTCAATGAATCTAACGGTTGGAAATCGTTTGTAGTATAGTACTAAAAACAGTTGATGAAGTGAATCTCTACCACAAAAAATCAACGGTTCAGATTCCATCGTTGGCCAGTGTGTAACAGCTCTTAACACAAGAGTAATGAGGAATAATTTTTTATTGTGATTGAAACAGTGCGTCTATATAACTACTACCTCTACTGAACAAGTTTCCCGCGTCTCTCTCTCCGCCGGCCATCGGAGAAAAACGGAAGCTCACTCTCTCTCTCTCTCTCTCTCTCTCTCTCTCTCTCTCTAAAATAATATATAAATATGCAGATAATGGAATAATCGCTTTTTGTTCGTACATAAAAGCCAAATTCAGACGTACGGTTACGGATCGAATCATTTTCCTCAGCTTTCTCGGCAACCAAACAGAAACTAAGGCCTCGTTTGGCACGCCGTATAAAGCATCGGATAGGATAAATAATACGGGAGCAGTTGTTTGGTGCACTCTCGTACTAAATAAGCACCCGCTTAATTATCCGGCCCATCAAATTTTATACGGTTGACACCGTACTATTAAAACAGCCCACAAGCTCCGGATAATTAGTCGGGGCGTTGTCCTCTCCAACTTCACGAAGCCGCCGTTAACGACTTCTCAAAGTGGGCCTTCGAGCAGTTCCTCGACGAGTTTTCCACCCTAGGCGCCACTCCTCTGCAGTCATTCTCCGACTAATTTCTCGTCTCGTCCGACGGAAAGCACACAGAGGAACAAAGAAGAGAGTGAGAGAGAGACAAAAAGAGACCAGTAGCAAAATAACATATTCCACAGGGATATACAGAAAGGGGCGGATGGAAGCTAAGGAATTCGCCAACTGGAGGCGTCTCAGCTCTTCCCCTCCTCCAAATCGAATTTTGTCAATGCTTTTCCCCAACCTAATGCCCAAAATCAGTCAGCCCCATTTTTCTCTCTGATGAGTGTTCTTGGTTTGTTGAAAAAAAGGTGTCCTCCGTGAATTTCCTTCCAATTGTTTTTTAGGACAAATAGAAAACAAATTCCTTTGTGTGAATTTTCTTGGTTTGTGGTGTGTTTTTTTGCTGGGTTGATTTGTAGCTAAAAAAAGAGAAGGATTGGGAAAAAAAAGATGAGAATTTGAAAGGTGGGTTTTGTTGGGTTTCTTGTTGCTACCTTTGTGGTGGGGTTTAGTTCAAGGGAGCAGACGGTGAAGAAGAATAAGGGATAGAAAGGGAGGGAGTGAGTTTGGGGGGGGGTGCCGCAGAGAGATCTGGAACAAAAGAGATGATTTCAGTTTTTTTTTTTAAATTTTATTTTAAATTTGATTCCTTCTATTCGATATAATACCAAACACAGTATAAATAATACGATCATTAGTCCGATACTGCACCAAACGCCCGACTAATTTAGTCAGTACTATCCGATGACTATTTATCCTATCCGACAGAAATAGTCAGTACAGTCCGAGCTGCCAAACGAGGCCAGGTACTGAGTTTAGTCTCTCTGGATCATATTGTGGTTTTATTTATTTATTTTCTTTGATAAATTCCATTTTTCTGAAAATATTGTGTTTGAATTTTTACAGATGGGAACGGGCGGCGGAGGAGACGATGAGGGGATACGGCGGAGAGGCTGCACGTACCGAAAGGACGATTTTCTCCCCGAGGAGTCGTTCCAGAGCTGGGGCAATTACGTCGATGCGCTGAAGCAGACGCCGGGCCGGTTCGTGGATCGGGTCCTGACCCGGTCGGCGGACAACACGGAGCTGGTTGAGGTGAAGGCGCGGAGTCATCACGAGATGAAGAAGACGCTCAGCTGGTGGGACCTCATCTGGTTCGGACTCGGCGCTGTCATCGGCGCGGGAATATTCGTGCTCACGGGACTGGAGGCGAGAGAGCACGCGGGCCCCGCCGTCGTGCTGTCGTACGTCGTCTCGGGCGTCTCCGCCTTGCTCTCTGTTTTCTGTTACACCGAGTTCGCCGTTGAGATTCCTGTTGCAGGTATGGCAACAACACACTTACTAAATATTCGAGCATTTTTAAATATTTTTATTTAAATTAGCCTTTGCCTGCGTATTATCATCTTGTTTCAACCATAAGCGTTTAAAATATTTGTAGCAATTTTTTAATATGATTTCTAAGAACAAGGATTTGATTGACAACCAAAAAAAGGGGTCGATATATAATTTAATAATAATACACCATTATTTTATTTTAAAAGTACTGTTTATTTTAACTAAATATTTTATTTATTTAGAAAACATATATTTTTGTTAAATAAAAAGCTAAACATGCCTTTGATTAATACTTTCCAATTGAATTATTTCATATACATGCCTTTGATTAACTAAATCATAAACATGCTTTTGATTAACATTTGACAATTGAATGATTCCATAGGATGTATGACTTGAGGTTTTATACAACTTTAATTACTAGGAATGATGTCACTGAATACTATAATCTTATGGTATTTCTCTTTACTTGAAAATGAGAAATATTAAATTTGAATCTCGTAGATGACAAATTTCATATCAAATTAGATTGTCAATTGTGTATCTTAGCCAAACTCTTTCTCCCTTTTAATATAAAAATATATTGATGTATTAAAAAAAGTAAATTACTAAGAATGATTGTAGGTGAAGATGCAACATATCAAATTATCAAATGATTACGTTTAGGAATTTCTTTTGAATATTCTAAAGATACTTTAGTTACATGTACAAAAAAAGTCTAAATTGTCAAATGATTACGTCTAAGGAATGGAGGCAGTGTCTCTGCCCTCCTACTTCCTGTGCCCTTCCGTATTCTTCTATTTGTGTGGTCACAGTTAAGTCCAAAATTCTAAAAAATACTAGGCGCTAATCGGGCGATGAGCTAGCGCCTAGCGGCTAGGCGGCGCTTAGGCGGATTTAGGTAAATTTTTTGTATATCTTGTAAATAAGTACATATTAACATTTCCAAAAAATTATACTTATATGAAATTCATAAATAAAATAATAAAAGAATGATAAAATACAAAAAAAAATATCTAACAAATCCAAAATTTAAAAATACATTAAGCATATATGCCATATAACTTAAAACATTTTGAGTGATTATATTTAATTTTTAAAAAATAAAAGTAATAATATTGGGTTGTATGGTTCATAATAAACAGAAAATTCTGATGTCAATATGGTGGTTCATAATAATATTTTTTAGAGATCATATTAATTTATGTTAAATTTAAAGAGAAATAAGGGTGTTAAATATGTGGATGTGGAAAGGGCACACCCATCATTACCATTAATTTATGTCAAATATGTGGATGTGGACGCATGGGAACTTTGCAATCTGCAACAAGACTTCATGGTGACATCTTCAACCTGACACATCCATCATTTTTTAGGAGAAAAAACAGGACTTGGATCCTCTCCTGAGCCCAAGGAGAGGATCCTCCTGAGCAAATGACTTGGACCGTTGGATGAAAATCTAACGGCTATAAATGGGGGGATCCCTTTAAAGTTATAATAATTATAACCGTTGGATTCATAAATCCAACGGCCCAAATCCTTTGGTCAGGAGGATCCTCTCCTTGGGCTCAGGAGAGGATCCAAGTCCGAAAAAACAAGGAACCGAACTGACAGCCTATGGCTTTTTACACAAAACAAGCAATTTGATGCTAGCTGTCCAAATTTGATTGGAGAGAAACTAAGAAAAAAAATTAAATAAGAAGAGTGTGAGGTCACGTGGTGTGAAAGGAAGAAAGAACGTCTTCGTCTTCGTCTTTCCTCTTTCGCCAAGCCGAGCGAGAACCAGAAGAAACCCAGAAAAATGCAGCTGATCTGCATTCTTGAAAACATAACAAAATTGAAATTCCTGGGCCGCCTAGGCCACTCAGTCGCCGGCTTAGGCCGCCCAGGCTGTCTCGGCGGCCGCCTAATCCCTGTCCCGATTTTGCGTTAATCCCCTCGGCCGGTCACCGCCCAACGCCTAGGCGTCGTCTAGGCCGATTTTTAGAATACTGGTTAAGCCACGTCAAAATTTTATATTACTATTTATTTTTGTCTTATTATCTCTATAAAAAAATATATAAAATGTTGACGAAGCTTAATCATGATCACATAAAACAGAAGAGTACGAAAAGTGGGAGGTCAGAGAATCTGCCTCCCTAAGGAATTCCTTTTAATTACGTTGATGATTTTCTTCCTCCAAATTTCATTCTTTTTTAGTCTCTTATCACCTTTATATATATATATCTATATATGTATATATATAACTTAGTTGAGATTGTTCAAATAAGAGGAGACTGAGGAATTTGAAGGGCAAAAATGTTATTCACGCATTTATTTTTATCTTACACACATTCTTATCAAGTTATTATTATTAATCTTCTTCGATTCTTTTTATTTGCGCATAAATTCGAAAAACGTGTGTGAGCAAATGTGTGGATAAGAGAATAGATGGTGACTGGGGGAAATCTGGCAGGAAGCTCACGTTTGCTTGGCCACATGCTGCTGTTTCTTGCTAGATTTATTTTTTCATCGTTTCTTCCAGATTTCTTGTTTACTTTCTGAAATGTAAAGTCAATGGTGGAGGCCTGCGTGTGTCTTCAACTCTGCCCCCACCACCTGTCCAAGATTTTGACCTCTTTTTTTGTCAATCGTTCAAGATTTATACTTAATTATAGTATTATCTGGTTGATTATGTACTAACAAATTGTTTTATTTCAAATTCTGGTTATATGAATTTTCACACATGCGTTCAATTCAAGCATTGCCATTGCATTTTTTTTTTCTTCAATTGATGATTTACTTCATAGTAAATAACAATTAGTAATGAGCTCGTCACATCTCAGTTAAAAGTATCGAAGTCTCGAGTTTGAATCCCTTACTTTCTCAGCTCCAGTATCGCTTCTATAAAAAATAATAGTTGTTGATTCCATCTTGCTGCATCTAATCTAATATTCTGAAGTAATTAAAATAGTAATTTGTTGATTTGTGTTGCTACACTTTCACAAGATTAAAAGTTAAAAGTTAATTAGGTTCCCGCCTAACATACTTCGATTGAATTTGATTTTTTCAGGTGGCTCATTTGCCTACCTAAGGGTGGAGCTTGGGGACTTCGTGGCCTTCATTGCAGCAGGCAACATCCTCCTCGAGTACGTCATAGGTGGCGCAGCCGTTGCTCGTTCTTGGACATCCTATTTCACCACCCTCTGCAATCGCAGCGACACCAATGATTTCCGCATCATAGCCCACGGTTTCCCAGAGGACTACAAGTACCTCGATCCCATTGCTGTCGCTGTCATTATCGGCATCTGCTGCCTCGCAGTCCTCAGCACAAAGGGCTCTTCTCGTCTCAACTACATTGCCTCGATTGTCCACATCATTGTCATTCTCTTCATCATCATCGCTGGCCTCACCAAAGCAGATATCAATAACTACCGCGATTTCTTCCCCTTTGGCCCTCGCGGTGTATTTCAAGCTTCAGCTGTTCTATTCTTTGCGTACATTGGATTTGATGCTGTTTCAACCATGGCGGAGGAGACCAAAAATCCTGCAAGGGACATCCCAATTGGTCTTGTCGGCTCAATGGTGATTACCACAGTCCTCTATTGCTTGCTTGCAGTGACATTATGCCTTATGCGGCCGTATGGCCAAATCGACAAACAAGCTCCATTTTCGGTTGCGTTTGAAGATGTTGGGATGGGATGGGCTAAGTACGTTGTGGCAGCGGGTGCATTGAAAGGCATGACAAGCGTGCTGCTTGTTGGGGCAGTTGGACAGGCGCGGTACCTCACTCACATTGCCCGAACCCACATGGTGCCCCCATGGTTTGCGCAAGTTGATTACAAAACCGGCACTCCTGTCAATGCCACGGTCACCATGCTTGCAGCCACCGCAATCATTGCCTTCTTCACAAGCCTTGACATTCTGGCCAACCTTCTCTCCATCTCCACTCTGTTCATCTTCAGCCTTGTTGCCATCGCTCTCCTTGTTCGCCGCTACTATGTCAGCGGCGTCACAACTCGGGCCAACAGAAACAAGTTCATTGCCTTCCTTTTCATCATAATTAGCTCTTCAATTGCCACCTCTGTCTATTGGAGTAGAACAGATGATTGGACTGCCTACGTGGTAACCGCGCCGCTTTGGTTCTTGGGTACTTTAGGGATTTGGTTACTTGTCCCCCAAGCAAGGAGTCCGAAGCTCTGGGGAGTGCCACTGGTGCCATGGTTGCCATCTCTTTCAATTGCCATCAACATTTTCCTGCTCGGGTCAATCGATCACGCCTCGTTCATAAGGTTTGGAGTGTGGACTCTGATCATCTTGGTTTACTACTTCATCTTCGGATTGCACGCGTCTTATGACACGGCAAAGGACTCCGAAGCGAAGAGGCTGGAGGGCGGCACAAACGATGAGTTGAAGAAGGTTCAAGCTGCAAGGGTGGCCACGAGGGACGCCGGCTTAGACGCTGGAAATGGTAGCAATGCCTCTGCACCTCCTGCTAGTTAAGAAAGGGTATGTTTTGTGTGTGAAGATTTAATTGTTTGTGTGTGATTAGTGCTGTTTAGTTTTATCAGCTTGCTTATTAGAGATGTGATTTACAATTAAATGTTGTCTATAAATCTGTTTTGAAGTACGTAGTATTTTACTTTTATTGATACACCACAACTTTCTTTCTCAATTCACTTTATTTCTTACAATGTACCTAGAGGGGTTTATTTATTTTCAAAATGATACGTAGACAATCTAGAGGTCGCACTTGGTGCGATGGCAAGTGCCTTCGCCCATGAGCGGTAGGTCTCGGGTTCGAGACTTGGGAGCAGCCTCTCCATAAATGGGGGTAAGGCTAGCCGACATTCACCTCTCCCAGACCCTGCGTAAAGCGGGAGCCTTGTGCACTGGGTACGACCTTTTTATACGTAGACAATCTAACTCCATCGGGCCAAAATTTATGATCTGACCAGGGAGGCTACTGTAGCAATACAATGCACCCAAATATTCTCGCACACTTGAGAATGGCCTGTATTCGCAAAGGGATTCGCATCAACAAAATAGGTAGAGAATTGTTGAGAAATACCACACTAATCCGTAATACTATGTGGCAATTAAAAGCTACTTAAATGGCCTCAAAAAAGACGATGTTAATTGTGGATAGGATTTTTACCACGTGCAAAGGAGTTAAAAACATTTATAATACTTGCAAGAGTAACAAGGATATTGTAGTATAGATGGCTCTAGCAAAGTCGTTCTTCACAGGGATTATTAAATCATTCGTATTAAACCAAATCTCAATTAATTATTTAAAACTAAAGTTTTGGGAAGATTGATTTATGATCTAATTTAATAAAAACGAATTTATTTTTAAAGAGTAGAAATCAAATTCAGAAAGCACTGGGGTTTCGCCGTCGTCTTAACAATCCTAAGTAGTTCTCCTAATTACTTATGACCTATACATGCATATTTTGAAGGCTAGATTTTCCTAATATATGCCTACTTGGACCCCCAATATAAAGCGTATATCAAACATGCAATCTATTTGTGGCATTCAGATCAAATCTAAACATGCATGCTCATTAAGTTTTGTGAAAACCCTCTGAAAAACAATGCAACCCTTAAGACGTGGTATTCATCCTAAGTGAACATGCACATATTAACAAGAAGAAGCTTTCGTCAATTTCAGGGATCGACTGTCACATCTCGGCTCGGGCCCCCACCACATCTCGAGCTTGACTCAACCATAACACGATATTGTCCGTTTTGAGCCCCGATCACGCTTTCACGGTGTCGTTTTTGGAAACTCACACGAGAACTTCCCAATGGATCACCCATTGGAACTCTGAAGTTAAGCGAGTTCGCGCGAGAGCATTCCCATGATGGGTGACCCACTGGGAAGTTCTCGTGTGAGTTCCCAGAAACAAAACCGTGAGGGTGTGGTCGGGGCCCAAAGCGAACAATATCGTGCTATAGTGGAGTCGAGCCCGGAATGTGGTGGGGGACCCGGACCGGGATGTGACATTCTTACTACAAGTGACCCTTTACCACAGTGGTGAAAAGATGTTGAATACTTGCATGACGGCCTGAGTTTGAATCTCGTGAGTGGCTAATCTAATATCTAATCTAACAAAATTCATCGTTTGACAAAATAAAAATTTGTGGGGTTCTCAGTAATCACTATCCACGTGACGACAACTATGGGAATTCCTTTTTTTTAGGAGTAGCATCACAGCCGTCCAATTAGGACATCGTTTTAAAAACTACCGAATCTTGTCCAAATTCACGTCCCTACCCGTCTGCATCACTCTCTATACAATTATTTGAAAAATATCAAATTAAAAATAAAAAATTTTAAAAAATTTCCAGCTTCACATTTCCATGTGAAATAATTCCAAATAAAACCAAACTTCCAAAAAAAGAAAAAAAAATATATTAGACAAACAAGCAAAGTTGTAGCCACTGAATATTACGTTATAGTGATATTCTTCTTCAGTCGTAGCCAAAGGTTGAACCACAATATTACTAACTAGGGATGGGCAAAATACCCATGAGTTTGTGTAACCGTTTAGATGAACAAACGATTATGGGTATAACCGTTTATCCGTGAAATTTAAATGGGCGGTTATGGGTATTACCTGCGGTTATAACGGGTATCCATTGATTATGGGTATTACCCACGGTTATAATAAATATCTATTTACCCATTTAATTTAATATATGTAAAATTTATAATATTTTTAACGGTTATAACGCGTTTTTGTATTTGTTGCTAAACTTTTCGTATACAAAAGGTTTGAAGCACAAGAAGCCAACAAGGAGAAAGATCAAAGAGCTAACTTGAAGCTTATGATCTATCTTGCGGTTAACAGAAAGTACTGGTATTAGTGTAGAAAAATGTTTGTTTTTAGAAGCTTTACTTTGTAATCATGAATTATAATTAAAGACTTGCTTGGGTGTAGTAGAAAAATATCATTCGTAAACTATTATTTCAATTATTAGAATTATATGATGACCTAAATGATTAAAATAGAGAAATGCATGCTAAAATGTACCTATAACAGTGTTTAATTGTCAGAAAAAGAAAATTATTTTTTTTTGTAATTTTCAAGTTGTTAAAAAAAAAACATGTAGATAGATGAAAAAAGGGATAAAAAAATGATAAACGGCTTACAATCGCCTTAAAAACATAACCTCAATTGGTCATAAGCACATAAATAAAGTGAATCTCAGCCGGAGATTCACCAAGCCAACAGCTCACAATCGTCTCAAATAACAAGTGACCGTCGATGAAGCCTGAGATGAATCTAACGGTTGGAAATAGTTTGTAGTATGTTACTAAAAACAGTTAATGGAGTGAATCTCTGACACACAAAAATCAACGGTTCAGATTCCATCGTTGACCAGTGTCACAGTGTGTAACAGCTCTAAACACATGAGTAATGAGCGGTAAACCAAGTGGGCCTATATAACTGCTTGCTCAGCTGAACGAGCTTTCCCGCGTCTCTCTCTCTCTCTCTCTCTCTCCCCGCCGGTCATCGGAGAAAAACGGACGCTCACTCTCTCTCTAGAATAATTTATAAGCCAAAATCAGACGTACGGTACGGATCTAATCATTTTCCTCATCTTTCTCGGCAGCCAAACAGAAACTAATTAAGGGATTGAATTTAGTCTCTCTGGATCATAGTGTGATTTTATTTATTTATTTTCTCTGATAATTCGATTTTTCTGAAATTTTTTAGTTTGAATTTTTACAGATGGGAGCGGGCGGCGGAGGAGACGATGAGGGGATACGGCGGAGAGGCTGCACGTACCGAAAGGACGATTTTCTCCCCGAGGAGTCGTTTCAGAGCTGGGGCAATTACGTCAATGCGCTGAAGAAGACTCCGTTCCGGTTCGTGGATCGCGTCCTTTCCCGGTCGGCGGACAGCACGGAGCTGGTGGAGGTGAAGGCGCGGAGTCATCACGAGATGAAGAAGAAGCTCAACTGGTGGGACCTCATCTGGTTCGGAATTGGCGTTGTCATCGGCGCCGGAATATTCGCGCTCACAGGACTGGAGGCGAGAAGGCACGCAGGCGCCGCCATCGTGCTGTCGTACGTCGTCTCGGGCGTCTCCGCCATGCTCTCTGTTTTCTGTTACACCGAGTTCGCCGTCGAGATTCCTGTTGCAGGTACGGCTACACACTTACTAAATATTCGAGCATTTTTTAAATATTATTGTTTTATATATGTGTGTATATATATACACTTTATCAAAGGGATCCTCATTTAAAAAAAAAAAATAGGAATTATGTGTGGGGCTCTCTCCACAACTAATCCTTGTTTTTTTTCAAAAAATGGAATTCTTTTGCATAAAGGGCTTGTATACATTATATTTCATAAATCTTAATTCATAGATCATTTTTGTAAAAATTTAATTCAATTCGAAATCATTTACCTATTTAATTATCAATATCAAATTTCATTATTTCTTATATAACAAAATATTCGTTCTTTTCTTTGAATCCAATTAGACGTCTTAAATATTTCCGATTTGGCTAATATTTTGCAAGGATGATCTATGAGATACAACTTAAAAAATAAACGATTCGGATCGTTAAAGTTTAATGTGATGTGAACCCCACAACTAATTCCTATTTTTATAAAAAAAATAAATAAAAATCCCCTCCCTAGCCTTTGCCTGCACATTATCGTCTTGTTTCAACCATGAACGGTTTAAAATAAGAGAGTTTTAACGAAAAGTTCGCGATATTGTTCCCCTTTTTCTTTCCGTCACATCCCTTCCACAATTATTTTAAGGAAAACTAATGAAAATGGTTTGAAGACTTTGAGTTTTAACGATAAGGACAAAATAAATGGTAAAATGAATAGTACCAAGTGTGACTTTTTAATGTAAAAATGTGATTTTTCGTTAAAGTGAACAATGCTACGGACTTTTCGATAAAACTCCCATTATATAATCCAGTATTGATATGAACTTGAGATGTACAGTATGATTTTCGCTTAGTTACACAACGTTTTATACAAAGTCTAAGTTAATATGGAATCATGGAGGTGGAACCGTGGGGGAGTTGTTTAGATGGTGACTGGTGGAAATCTGGCAGGGAGCTTACGTTTACTTAAAAAATTCGAAGTCAATAGTGTAGACCTCCACGCAAATCTCTTCAACTCTGTCCCCACCACCTATCCAAGATTTTAGACTTTTTTTTCATGTATTCAAGATTTATACTTAATTCTAGTATTATCCGGTTGATTAGCTACAAACAAATTGTTTTATTTCAAATTTTGGATATATTAACTTAACACATGCATTCAATTGAAGCATTGCTTTTGTCCCCAAAAAAAATATATATATATTCAAGCATTGCCCTGACTTTTCTTTCTTCATTTAATTGATGGTTAAGAAATAACAATTAGAAAGAACCCCGTTGCAACTAAGCTGGCTAAAAGTATCAACGTCTCGAGTTCGAATCCTTAACTATTGATTATATTTTGCTATGTCTAATATAATATTTCGAAGTAATTAAAGTAGTAATTTGTTGGTTTGTGTCGCCACAATTTCACAACATTTAAAGTTAGATCAACTTAATTAGGTTCCCACCTAATATAATTAGATTGAATTTGATTTTTCAGGTGGCTCATTTGCCTACCTTAGGGTGGAGCTTGGGGACTTCGTGGCCTTCATTGCAGCAGGCAACATCCTCCTCGAGTACGTCATTAGTGGCGCAGCCGTTGCTCGTTCCTGGACATCCTACTTCACCACCCTCTGCAACCGCAGCGACACCAATGATTTCCGCATCATAGCCCACGGTTTCCCAGAGGACTACAAGTACCTCGATCCCATTGCTGTCGCTGTCCTTATTTGCATCTGCTGCCTTGCAGTCCTCAGCATAAAGGGCTCTTCTCGTCTCAACTACATTGCCTCGATTTTCCATATAATTGTCATTGTCTTCATCATCATCGCCGGCCTCACCAAAGCTGATACCAAAAACTACATCGATTTCGCCCCTTTTGGCCCGCGCGGCGTGTTCCAAGCGTCGGCTGTTGTGTTCTTCGCGTACGTTGGATTTGATGCCGTTTCAACCATGGCGGAGGAGACCAAGAATCCCGCAAAGGACATCCCAATTGGTCTTGTCGGCTCAATGGTGATTGTTACAGTGCTCTATTGCTTGCTTGCACTCACATTAGGCCTTATGCAGCCATATAACCAAATCGACGAACAAGCTGCATTTCCGGTTGCGTTTCAAGCTGTTGGGATGGGATGGGCTAAGTACCTTGTGGCAGCGGGCGCATTGGAAGGCATGACAAGCGCGCTGCTTGGCGGGGCAGTTGGACAGGCGCGGTACCTCACTCACATTGCCCGAACCCACATGGTGCCACCATGGTTTGCACAAGTTGATTCCAAAACCGGCACTCCTGTCAATGCCACGGTCACCTTACTCGCAGCCACGGCAGTCATTGCCTTCTTCACGAGCCTCGACGTTCTGGCCAACCTTGTCTCCATCTCCACTTTGTTCATCTTCAGCCTTGTTGCCATCGCTCTCCTTGTTCGCCGCTACTATGTCAGCGGCGTCACAACTCAGGCCAACAGGAACAAGTTCATTGCCTGCCTTTTCATCATAATTAGCTCTTCAATTGCCACCTCTGTCTATTGGAGCAGAACAGATGATTGGATTGCCTACGTGGTAACCGCGCCGCTTTGGTTCTTGGGTACTTTAGGGATTTGGTTACTTGTCCCCCAAGCAAGGAGTCCGAAGCTCTGGGGAGTGCCATTGGTGCCATGGTTGCCATCTCTTTCAATTGCCATCAACATTTTCCTGCTCGGGTCAATCGATCACGCCTCATTCATAAGGTTTGGAGTGTGGACTCTGATCATCTTGGTTTACTACTTCATCTTCGGATTGCACGCGTCTTATGACACGGTAAAGGACTCAGAAGCGAAGAGGCTGGAGGGCGGCAGAAACAATGAGTTGAGGAAGGTTGAAGCTGCAAGGGTTGCCACGAGGGACTCCGGCTTAGACGGCGGAAGTGGTAGCAATGCCTCTGAAACTCCTGCTAGTTAAGCAAGGGTTTGTTGTGTCTGTGTGATTGTGTGAAGATTTAATTGTTTTTGTGTGTGATTAGTGCTGTTTAGTTTGGAAAAGGATCCGGAGGATCCTTTTCCTGGGGATGCCGAGATCCCGTGATTATGACCGTTTATCGTACATCGTGCGGTCAGAAATCATTTGAAATTTAAAATTTAAAATTAAATATAAATAGTACATAACGAAAACTGACCGCACGATGAACGGTCATGATCACGGGATCCCAGGAAAAGGATCCTCCACGTTTGTTATCAGCTTGCTTCTAGAGATGTGATTTATAATTAAATGTTGTCTATAAATACGTTTTGAAGTAGTACTTTTATTATTATCACCACAACAACTTTCTTTCTCAATTAACTTTTTTTCTTACAAGTACTTAGAGGGGTTTATTTATTTTCAAGAGGATACGTAGACAATTTAACTCTAAATTAGCCAAAGTTTATGATGGGATTGGGGAGGCCATTGTAGTGATACAATGCACCCAAACATTCTCGCACGGTTGAGAATGGCCATGTTCGGAATGGCATTCCCATCAACAAAATAGGTAGAGGGGTGTTCGTGTTCGAATTCTCCTCTTCATAATTTAGATGAGGTCCAAGTCTTTTAGTCCTTATACAACACTGGTTAGTAGTAAGATTTTGTTACGAAGTAAATAACTATTATACCAAGTTTAATGGGAGAGTATTATTTAATTTAATGGACCATTAAATACTGAACCTTTCTTGTAGAGTAATTTTTCAGTGTGTCACATATGTAGGCAACACAGTCCAATACACAAAGTATCATAACATAAGTGGTTGAATACTTAAAAAAAAAAAATTTCAACCACTTTTATTATAACACTTAGTGTACTAGGCCGTGTTTCCGGTACACTAAAATTTCTCTTTCTTGTGATGGAAGATATTCAGAAGTTTTCCACATGGATATACATTACATATGGCCCTTCTTTTCCCCCTTTCGGCCTTGGTATTGAAATTGAACTCGGTCCACTGACCAATACAAATATGGTAATACAAGTAAGTGTAGTACAACCAATCCCTAGCTAGCCTCCCTTTTCTCTGTGCCCATACTTTTTGTTTTTTTATTTCTGTTTTTATGTTAAATTTCTGGGTTTGCCTTCTTCTCTCATCTAAAACACTCTTCAAATCTGCGAGGGCTAGTAGCTTAAGTAGGTAAGAGAGTTTTTCCTCCGTTTGAAGTTCTGCACTCGAAGTCGTGTGTTTGAATCTTCTCCTAGTATTTCTTTGTATAGAAATACAAGCTTCCAAAAGGGTACGTTTTTAACTTTTGCTGGTTACAATTTAAAGTTATTGGTGTAAATTGCAATGTTCTTTGCTGATGTAGTCACATATCAGAAACTAATAGTTATGCTTATTTTCACAAATCTGGTTTTGAATTACGCTAAGGATTTTGAATATATTAATTTTTTAATATCCATCGAGATTCTTGACTGTTAGATACTTAACCGCCCATACAACCATTCATTACTGCGGTGCATGTCATACACCGAAGCATAGTAGAATTTTCTTTTTCTTTTTTTGGTCAAAAGCATAGTAGGGTTTTCGCTGATGCCATTTCTTAAGAATAATAACACTTTTATACATGATGAGTGAACAAAAATAAAATATTTTATTTTTCGTTTTGGCTAAACGTTTGATGAGGATTGAATTTTGTTAATTAAGTTGAATGGTTCTATTTTAGCAGTCAAAAAAATCTGATCTGTTATCTGAGGATCCGATCTTCTCCCAAATATCTCTATTTACATGGTGAGAAGTAACCCTAGCACCGAACAAAGTGGTACCAATGTTTTAGACTTTTTATTTTCTTCAAATAAAAAATAAAAAATTAATCCCTGCATCAAGATTTTCCATTTCTTGGTTGAAAGGCAACATTGTTCCAGTTATATTGTCACAGATTTTTTTTGTCGAAACTTGAAAATCCGTTCGATTTTAGGGAAGCCGGAAGAAAAATGGTGACCGTCGTCACTAGAGGTGGTGGTGGTGGTGGTGCACAAGGCAATGTGATCAAGAGAGGAAGTTGCATATGCAGCAAAGATGATTTCTTGCCGGAGGAGTCGTTCAAGAGCTGGGGAAACTATGTTCATGCGCTGTCCAGCACGAAAACAAGGCTCAAAGACCGGCTTCTTGCGCGGTCCCTGGACCACCAGGAGGTCGAAGAAATTCGTGCACGTAGTCAGAATCAGATGAAGAAAACCCTAAACTGGTGGGATCTCATTTGGTTCGGCATTGGAGCGGTCATGGGGTCGGGGATTTTTGTTCTCACAGGTCAGGAAGCAAGAAATCATGCTGGCCCTGCTATAGTAATCTCTTACTTCATATCCGGCGTTTCAGCAATGCTATCAGTTTTGTGCTACACTGAGTTTGCAGTGGAACTCCCTGTGGCGGGAGGCTCATTTTCTTATCTTAGGGTGGAGCTTGGTGATTTTGTGGCTTATATTGCTGCCGGAAACCTCCTCTTTGAGTATATAATTTCAGGAGCTAGTGTGGCAAGGTCATGGACCTCGTACTTTGCTACATTGTGCAACCACAGCCCCAACGATTTTCGCATCACCGCATCATCCCTTGCCGATAACTTCAACCATTTAGACCCAATCGCGGTTTTTATCTCCATTTTGGTTTGTTTTGGTGCTGCCTTGAGCATGAAGGCTTCGTCTAGATTCAATTGGGTTATGTCTATCACCCATCTGGTGGTCTTGATTTTCATCCTTGTCGCCGGCATGACTAAGGCTGACCCTACTAATTTCACTACAAACTTTGCACCATTTGGTATCCACGGAATCTTGAAAGCTTCAGCTGTTCTCTTCTTTGCGTACGTGGGATTTGACGGTGTAGCAACGTTGGGGGAGGAGACGAAAAACCCTGGCAGAGATATCCCGATTGGGCTGATTGGCTCAATGTTGACTATCATAACAACTTATTGCCTTCTTGCAGCCACATTGTGCCTGATGCAGCCATACAGCCAAATTGATCCTGATGCATCATTCACCGTTGCATTCCAAGCCGCGGGTATGAATTGGGCCAAGTACATTGTTGCACTCGGAGCACTTAAAGGCATGACAACCGTCCTGCTTGCCAACCTTCTTGCCCAAGCTCGTTATTTCACTCACATTGGACGCACCCACATGGCACCTCCATTCCTGGCATCCATCCATCCGAAAACTGGCACGCCTGTGAATGCCACGGTTTTTATGACGGTTCTAAACTCCCTTGTTGCATTCTTCACAAGCCTTGATGTCCTGACAGACCTTCTCTCAATATCAACCCTGTTTATCTTTACACTTGTTGCCCTAGCACTTATTGTAAGGCGATACTACGCTTCTGGTGAAACCTCAACTCCCGACAGAAACAAACTCGCTGTGTTCTTGGTACTGATCGTAGGATCATCAGTTGGTTCTTCTATTTTTTGGGCAGTTAGCAACGGTTGGATTGCCTACACTGTGACAGTCACAATTTGGTTTGTTGCCACATTAGGCCTACAGTTGACTCTCAAACAAGCAAAGAAACCTAAACTTTGGGGGGTGCCATTAGTCCCTTGGTTGCCATCAGCCAGCATTGCCATCAACATCTTCATCTTGGGATCCATCGATGGTGCATCGTACATAAGATTCGGCGTTTGGACGTTGATTTTGCTCGTGTACTATTTGTTCGTGGTGCTGCACGCTTCGTACGACGCAGCTAGGGAGCTTGAAAGAAAGGCAGTTGATGCTAATATGGAGGCTGGGACTAGCAGAATCATTGAATTTAACTGAAAATCTGAGTCTCTTCTTTCTGCATCTCTGTACAAGTCCTAAATTCAATTCACTATTTTTATTTTTTTTACCTATTTAATTCAGGATACAAAGTTGAGCATTGCTAGTTTCCAATGTTCATATCCAATTTTTGTTTTGTCAAATTTTATATGCGCTCTAAATATGCACTTCTAGGTCTAAAAAAAGTAAGTAAAATTGGCCGAATTTCGCAAGATTTTTTGGGTGCACAAGAAAAATTCATGCAATTTGGAACGGATCTTACCAAGGACATAACTATATTTTAATCTAACTTTTAAGCTCAAAAAGATTATTGAAAACTAGGGGATTTTTACAAAGTCTTAACATGATTTTTAAGATTTGTTTTTCTTAACAAACAATAGCGTTAATGAGTTAAAAATATTAATAACAAGAAAATCGATGAAAATCAAACCCACACTACGATACATAGGTAATAGGTATCATTACTTTTCGTCAATGCGGTAACACACCAGCTATGAATTTTAAGAATCTTATGTGGCAGATAAAGTTCCACGGTAAGTTTTATGACGATTTCTGTAGAATTTTTGCAAAACCGACCAATAACCATGAGTAATAATCTCTTTTAGAAAATGCAATTGTTAACTCTATCCTCAATGCTTCTTGAAGAACAAATAATTTAATCATTAACTAATTGTATAATTCCAACAGTATCCTCAATGTTGTAATTTACATACAATTCTTGACCACTGCACACCTTTCCCTTCTCACTACCATACATAGCAAAATAATAAATAATAATAATATTTATATTAATTTTAATTTGAATTTGAATTTTAATATTAATAACAGTATTAATAATAATCACCTTAATTACCAATTACATAGGTTGTTTAAGCCTCTATCTTGAGGAGGGTATTGAGTGATGTACTGTTGAATTTCTGAGCAAGCCCTCTGATCACCAGCACGGTTACATCCCGAAGGTGCCTCGACTGCACCATCAGGTCGACATTATTCTCGCCGTCCACGACGATTTTCAGACGGTGTTGGTCGTTTCGGAACAGCTCCACCTGCCAAAATCCTCCACCTTCTTAAGTTTGTAGTACATAGAAATGCCACTCAAAACCAGGAAGAAAAACGAAAGGAAATCCGGCCATATGGCTGAATTATGTAGGATAGGCTTTAGATCAACAACATAACCACGCTAAATTTGAAACTTCTTCGATCTGTTGAACATTGCAAACATCGGACAACTGGAAAAGAAAGCTCGATTTGAAGCATGCACATGGACTTACATGAAAGGGAGGCGCATAACTTCCACGAATTTCAGTGGTTGGGAAGGAAGTCTTAGAACCGGGCTTTACCACCTTGACTCTTTTTCTGTTGACTTCGAGGATTCTTCTCTCAAGACTTCCCACTGCAGGAGCCTGCGATAAGAACAACGAAAAACAATACTCGAAACTTTATATCATTTCTAATGGGGGAACAGATTAGTTACGATTGTATGCAGACAATATCAAATGACAACCTTTTTCGTAGATTGGTCCTTGTCACACAATGTCTGTACCGAACAAGTGAAATGTGGTTAGAAATGATTTTCGCAACAAATACTATACGATTTACTACACGCAGAAGACAATATTAAGAATTTTAGAATTTCCGTAACCTCAAATTTCACAGTTCCAAGATCAAGCTTCTGCTTCACTTCTTTAAGAACATCAGGTTCTGCACGAAAATCAATGCCAGTTTTAAAATCGCAATGTATTATAACTTAAAAGTAATAAGAGATAGATCGAAAAGGAAACCGGAAGAAAAAAGGGGAGGGATGGGATTCTTAATTACCAACTGCAATCGGCTCCGTTGATGCAGAAACAGGATGCCCCTCCACTCCATCCTCCCTTACAGGAGTGTAAATGGCAACAAGCCTGTACCCTACGTCGTCAACATTAGACTCGTACATTCGCCCTACCTCCCCTGCAAGGAAAATTTTCATTTAATATTGCCCAGTGGAAAGATACATCTATGATAATGTTATTAAGAAAATTCCAATACCTGCTATAGAGATAAGATCAGGACTGCCAACCATTGATCTGAGCCACTGGATTCTACTTTTTCCTTCCTTCCCTCCACTATAAATTCCACGTACGGCGTATAAGTTGGTGTGGAAACCCCTCCCTTCAATCTCCAGCTTATCTATTCTAGGGATTCCTACAGAAAAACAGAAGTAATATATGATCAAATAAAAATTAGGAGCAGATATGGAGTCGGGGGCAACTTCCACCCGTTTTGCATTTCAACTCATCAATACATTGGCTTGAAATCATTTCTTATTGATGTCCAGTTTACAAGCTTCAGGAACCCGAGAAAATCACCAAACCCGAGGCCTAATTGAAGTGTTCGAAAGGGAATACCTGGTAATATGGGTCCGGTTTCAGCATAGACAGGCTCAGTTGATCTTCCAAAAACATCAGTCACAACGCATTCGCATTTTAGACAGCGCCCAACATCTTCTAGACGCATCTTGTAGGAGCAAGATTGCTGTGGAGGTAATATTTCGAAGGTTTTTTCATCCCCCTCTTTTGAAGAAAAATACCTGCAGCATCCCTCTGTCATGTAATGAACAAAATGAAATAGTACAAGCTAATAAACTTGAGACAAAAAAAATCCAAGAAAATTCCAACAAATTGAATGCATCTCCAGACTATGAAGTCATACGACATTAGAAATCGCTACATGCCAAATAACCATCTGCTAATCAGAACAAAATGTTACATGAAACTAGGACCCAACTGTAATAAAAAGTTAAATTCCCATTTGAATGGAATCATGCCGTATATTACTAAAATATAACATCATACCATTGATATCTGACATCTTTCTTGTACTTGCTCCAAACAATCTGTTGAGTCTCACTCTCTGGGATCACTTGAACAACTGTAAGAACATCACCTTCGATTGCCTTTCCCGTGAGAGCAAGCATCTCTAGTCTTGGAAGCTCTGGAGGGATCCAAATTGAAATTAAAATTTTATTTAAGATAATAACAAATCGTTTTTACTGCTTTCTACCAAACCAAAGAAAATGCAAGTCCATAAAATATATCAAAGGCCGGAAGTGTTGATATGATGACCTTCTACCTGGAAGAATAATATCAGTTGGCTCAGACAACTTCAGTTCTCCAACCACCGAATCTGATCGAACTGGTGTGTATCTATGAGATGCATATGGAAAAGTTTATTAGAATATACATCTCTAGATTCTCTACATATTCATCCACAAGACTACATATAATTTACGAGAAAGCAATTACTGAGTTTACAAGGAATAGATTTACATGTATGTTTGTTAGATGTAGGAAAGGTTAAATAGTCAGACAAAACTTTTACCCAAACAATAGACGGCAGTTGTAGTCTGCATCAGTGACTTCATAAGTGTTAGTGTTGGCTCCATTAATAAGAACAATAGTTCCTTCATTGGTTTCTCTATACCAGCTAAACAGGCTCGATCCTTCATATCCACCAAAATACTCTCCTTCTCCAGAATAAATGCTTTGTGATAACTCCTTCGCACGAACATTAGAAACCACAGGAAGAGCTGCAACATTAATTCACCAAACAGTCAACGAACAAGATCTAAAAGAAATGGATATATGAATGCCTTCGTATGACTCAGACCAAAGATCAGTAAGATCATATAGCAGATACAGGACATGGAACTATCAATTAGCTATAAAATTGGTCTTGGCTAAAATGAACTGAAACAGTTGCTCAAGTACACGACTTCCTCAAAAATCGAACACCAGATGAAATGTATGAAACTTGGAAGTGTACTGTGTTTACCAGTTTCCAATCAGAAAAAATGAAGCAGCCTTAATGATATGTCCTCATGTGAATAACATTGACAAGCAAAGAAAATGAACTTATGACCATGAAAATGAAGAAGTTTGTACCTGGTGCAACTGGAAAGTTGCAAATGGCAATTAGTGCCTGTCCACATTTGCCATCAGAACGAGTGGGGACCCAATGTAAGGCCAAATATGCACCCACATCTTCAAGTACTGGTGTGTATGTTCTGCCACATTTGCAAACCATTCAGACATCTTTTCAAAAATGAAAATACAGACTTCAAAACATTAGAAACCACCTTAGTATCAGAACTTACAATGTTTTACCACAAATAACCAAATCTTCACATGCATTATATATGTCCTGCAATGCAGATCCATGCAGCTTATTCTTTGTTCTGTACCAAATATATTCCCCAACACCTTCTTCTCCACCAAAATATGTTTTTTGGGGGAATAAATTCTCATTCTCACAGCAATCGGGAATAACAAGCTCCAGTCCTACTGGATCCGCTGTTGCAAAAAGCAATAAATTGAATTGGTCAAGTTCAAATTAGAATTTATTAAATGGATATGAAAACGGAAGAAATGGACAAAATGAGATACATCAACCATAATCCTAAATGACTTTAGCATATGACCTTCCAAACTACAAAGAAAAATTTGCAGAACTCTTCAAAATAATTAACTAACCAGGAGCAATCACATCAGATTGTATGCTCTTAGGATTTCCTCTCATCCCATCTTTGCGCATGGGAGTGTAAACAAGTTCAACACATGTACCCACATCATCAAGAGTCAAATCCACAAAATCTGCCAAGAGAAAAAATACCATTTAAATTTGTAATTTCACATGAATGTGAAATCTGTCTCATCTAATTAGAACTCACCCTGAGCACTCAACTTCTCCTTGACACCATTACGTTTAACTCTAAACCATTCATGCGAGCAATCGCCTTGCTCCCTGAATTACAAACAAGGACTTCCATTGTGTGAACAGTCACAACACTAAAGTTCCAGGTTTATCTAAAAGGAAAAGAAAATAATAATATAATAGGAATAAAAGGAAGTCTGACCCTCCACTATAAGAAGCAGTAAAGCTCAGACGTTGCCCTTCTATCATTGAACCAAGAAACTCCAAAGACCGACAAGTTGGGGGCCCTGCACTCCAAGTACAAATTCATAATGGTTTAGTGACAACCCAGTACACAAGCCAAAGTGCACAAGGGGAAAAAAACTAGAAATCTTCAATAG